TCAGGGAGAAAATCGCTCAGATTCGTCGCGATCTGGATTCCACTATTGAGTCAGAGGTCTTAAGGGAGACACCGATGCTACCGTCTGGTCCAGAATTATTGGAAGAATTTCAGTTACTGCGGCCCGATGATGTGGACAAGGTGCTTGGATGAGTACGTCCCACCACATGCCTTTTGGACCCTTGCCCGTCTTGGTTAATACAGGATTCCAAGCACGGGATTGGAACCTGGATCTTGGAAGTGGTTAACGCTTCTCTGAGGGAGGGTCGGGTGCCTGCCCCTTTAAAGAGGCGGTAGCCCGACCGGTCCTGAAGAAGGCGTCACTGGATCCAGAGATGGCCACTAATTATAGACCAGTGGCCAACATCCCGTTTCTGGGCAAGGTGTTAGAGAGAGTGGTGGCGGGACAAGTCCAAACACTCTTGGATGAAACTGATTATCTGGACCCATTTCAGTCCGGCTTCAGACCCGGGTACAGTACTGAATCTGCCTTGGTCGCCCTGTACGATGACCTGTGCAGGGAGAAGGACAGGGGGAGTGCGTCCCTGTTGGTTCTCCTGGACCTCTCGGCGGCTTTCGATACCATCGACCATGGTATCCTTCTGGATAGGCTTGCGGGATTGGGGGTCGGAGACAATGCTTTGCAGTGGTTCTGCTCCTATCTCAATGGCCGATTCCAGAAGGTGGTGCTGGGGGACTATGTCTCTGCACCATGGCAGCTATGCCATGGAGTACCGCAGGGGTCCATTTTGTCCCCCTTGCTGTTTAACATCTACACAAAACCACTGGGAGAGGTCATCAGGAGGTGTGGGCTGCGGAATCACCAGTACGCTGACGATACCCAGCTCTACCTCTCGTTTTCCACCAATCCAGGTGAGGCAGTGGCTGTACTGAACCGGTGCCTGGCCGAGGTAATGGGCTGGATGAGGGCCAATAAACTGAAGCTCAATCCAGACAAGACAGAGGTCCTGTTGGTAGGCGGTTCAGGCTTCGGAGAAGGTGAATTGAACCTTGTCCTGAACGGGGTTGCACTCCCTCCTAGGGATAAGGGCCGCAGCTTGGGAGTGCTCCTCAACCTGGAGCTTTCACTCGAAGCTCAGGTAACAGCAGCGGCGAGGAGCGCTTTCCTCCAGCTTCGGCTGATTCATCAGCTGCGCCCCTATCTGGAGTACGACTGCCTCACAACAGTGACTCATGCACTGGTGACTTCCCGTCTTGACTTCTGTAACGCGCTCTACATGGGGCTACCCTTGAAGACGGTCTGGATACTTCAATTGGTTCAAAATAGAGCTGCCAGGCTGCTGACGGGAACTGGACGTTATGTTCACATGACTCCAGTTCTCCGGCAGCTTCACTGGCTTCTCATTGAAGTCCAGGCCCAATTCAAGGTGTTGGTGATGACCTATAAAGCCCTAAACGGCTTGGGTCCTGGTTACCTGAAGGAGAGCTTACGTCCATATATGCCCAGCCGCCCCCTGAGATCAGCGGGAGAGGCCCTCCTCCGGGAGCCCTCAGTGAAGGAAATTAGGAGGGTGGTTACTCGGAGGAGGGCTTTCTCAGCGGTGGCGCCTAAGTTATGGAATGCGCTCCCCAGAGAGGTCGTTATTTGTTTTTCGGCGCCAGGCGAAGACCTTTTTATTTAAACAGCATTTTAAATGTTAATATTATTGAATTTTATTTGGCCAGGGCGGCTTATTTTATTCTACTGTATATATTTTAATTGTTATTGTTTTAATTTATTGTGTATTTTATTAGATGTTGTAAGCCGCCCCGAGGCTTCGGCAAGGGGCGGCATAGAAATGTTTTAATAAATAAATAAATAAATAAATAAATAAATAAATGTTTTTGCCACCTCAAGCAAGCTGGCTGTGCTACTGCCTATGTGCCTGTGGAGACAACTTTCTAGACTAATTGGTTTGCCAGGTCATTGCTTACCCACTCAATACTCTATCAGCCAGCCACACCTTGCTCCTCCTGCCTTGTAAGCAGCCTTGTAAGCAGCAGCTCCTCCAAGAGAGGTAAGATGAACTATCCTAAGAGCTTAGGCAACCTCTTGAGGCAGCAGTATCTGGAAATATAACCAGTCAGTGCTCTAGAGAGCCTTGTCAATTGCTCTCTTGATATCACAGCGGGCAGACAGCTGGTAGGGCTCTCCAGACCACCGAATGGAGGCATCATGTTATATTGTGTACTTGCTGACATTCCAAACAATGTGCAGTAATTGTCTTCTAACAAGAAGCATGGATGGATACAAAAAGTATCTTTTGTATAATAATTTCATTTTAATTTAGTCTTGATAAGAACTGACTAACACGTTTTCTGTGTTTTGGACAAAAAGAACTTGAAATTTTAAAAAAAAATTGCCAGAGAAACTGCAACTGATTGATTTGCCTATATGGTCCAAGGCTTTGAGTGTGTAACTCTTTGAAATATGAGTTTGAATCATTGGGTATTCGATTAATTAGATCCCCTTTGCCATTAATATTTTTTTTCCTGAGAATTTAGTTTCAATTCAATTTTGATTTAAAAAATTACAAAATCATTGCATGGAAAGAATTTAAGGTTAAAAAAAACAAGATGAGTGAAACAGAAACTTGATAGGAAGGCCAGTATTTCTAGCTCTTTCCTATTCAGAAATATTACAGGCAATCCTACCCATATCTACTAAAAATGAACCATATTGAGTTCACAAGGTCTTATTCTCAGGTAAATGTGTGTAGGATTGCATTCTTTATTATTCTTAATGGTGTAAAGCATAATAAATAAGCTTAACAAATAAACCATTAAGCTTATTATTAACCTTCTTATAGTGCCCAAGGCCTATGATTAGATATGAGATACAGAACAAAAAAAGCCATATTGTGTATATGGTATTACTTCTACCACATTCTCTAGGACGCTCCTGTGGAACACACTTATCTACACAAGACAGGGTCATGTTGTAATAACTGATCTAATAAAAAATACTTCCTACTTTACATTTAAAGAGTTCATAATCAGAAGAAATGAAAGGAAGGTATTTGAAGTGCAGAACAAGTAAATCGAAAAAAAGTATAACAGGGAAGACAGGGAATGCTAGTGTGTATATCCTTTCTGATTAGCTTATCACTAGACTCTCAAAGTCGATTACAATAACAATACAAGTTATAAAAACAATGCATTAACAAGAATTTCTTAATCAACTGACAATATAGAACAAAGTGCAAGCTATAAAATACGATACAGAAATAAATCAAGTAAAAGCTTCAACAAAATATTTACCAAACGATAGCAGCAACTGAACAAACGGGGGAGGGAGGGGGGATAAAACTATGAAGTGGGAATAGCAGGTAGAGGAATAAAAGGTAGGATTGGGTTTCACACAGGAAGTTAGAGTTGTAGGACTAAAATAAAATTCCAAATTTGCTACTGAAAGTCTTTCTTCAGTCTCCTCTCTATCCACTATCTGCAGCGTCAAAACCAGTAATCATTTCAATGTTTTTTCTACAGGGTGTAATATTAATCTTTTCTTGCATGACAGAAAATCTCTATAATCTTCAAGGAGAATGCTTGCCTTTGCAGTTTATTTTCTGGATTTTAATTTAAGGAACTAAAATGAAAAAGTTTGGAAGGAAAAATTTCTGGATGTTGCATATAAGAGGAAAGATGAAGACAAATGTCTTAGCAATTTCCAAATTGAATTTTTCTGGATGTTAGCATCATGATCTTCTGCACATATATCCTAAAGTAAATCACATTGAATTCAATGAGGCTCCTTCCAGGCTAAGTATAAGATTGCAACATAAAGCTATATCTTCAAATGTGCTCCCTTGCTTTAGAAATTTCATAGAAACTTTCAGTTTCTTATGCATAATGCAAGATTTTTGTAAATAAAATGCACCATTCAGTGTAATTGTTGCTGTTGTTTTACTTCTATACCATCCAACAGCAGACGCTCTCTGGGCAGTTTACACAGTTTAAAATGCACCACAATATTAAAACATTAAGAAAACAAATGTTTTCTTACAGAAAGAAGAAAACAGAAAGATCTAAAACCACTTGTTAAACACATAAAATTGTTTATAGACAATTTTACAGAAAGATCTAAAACCACTTGTTAAACACATAACATTCCAACAACTTAAGCAAGATAAAAACCTGAATCAACCTGGATTAAACATTAATAAAGCCTCAACTAATTAATTGCCCCGAAGTCTAGGACAGTCCTAATCTGGCACTAAAAAGATAGTAAGCTTGGTGCCAGGCAGGCCCCACTGAAGAGCTCACTGTACAACTGGGGTGTGCAGGAAAGGCACCACTGAAAAGGTCCTTCTTGTTGAACTGAGCCTTTCTTGGAAGTGGAAGTCAGAGACAGGTCCCCAAGGTTGATTGTAGTGTCCCAATAGATGGTGTGTGGGAGAAGTGTTCCATCAAGTATTCTGGTCCTAAGCTGTGTAGGGCTTTATAGGTTAAAACAAACACCTTGAATTGTGTTCAGAAGCATACGGGCAGCCAATGCAAGCAGGCAAACATTGGTGTTACATCATCAGACTGTCTGGCCCCTGCTATTAGCCTGGCTGCTACATCAAACCTTTCCTTCCTTATTTTAACTACTAAGATGACATATTTACATGGTGTTCAATATAATCCTGATCCTTGGCAGAAATTCAAGACATATTGCATGATCCCCCAATTATGGAATGATGTCCCTGATGAGGTCTGACTGGCACCAGAATTCTTAAACATTCCATCTCTAGTTTTAAGAGTTTTGTCTTCTCTCACATATTTGGTAGCATACAATAAGGTTTTAATCAGGGTCTATATTCTTCTTGTTAACAGTCTAACATTTTAGATACATGTGCATCATTGTGTGTGTATTCTCTGTTTATATGTTTGCATGTACTGTTTATGGTCTCCATAATCTATACTTTAAGATTTTAATCTTTGTAATTTACCCTGATAACCTTGACTAGGGATTAATATGGAAATGTAATAAAAGAAATGAAATTTATATTATTTTACCTTGTCACCTTCAGAGAATGTTATTCCATCACTGGCTCTTTTCCATGTTATTTCAGGGACAGGTTCTCCTTCTGCCTCGCATATGAGGGTAGCTTGACCATTTTCAAAAGTTGTTTCATTTTTAAGCTGTATTATTTGAGGCTGTACTGTTAGAAATATAAACTATGTTACTCATTCTTGATTTGAATAAGTATAAACAACACTATGTACTTGTCTATCCAAAAGGTGTGAAAAAGATAGCCACATATTTGAAAATTGACTCAGCCTATTTCAATAATTTGGATTTTCTAGGGAAAGACCTGAATAATACATCCTTAGTACTGTGTTCAAAAATTCTAAATGGCACCTTTGAGAGTATGTTGTCTTTTCAACATTGTGTCTTATTTTGGTGCCCCTTTTTTAAACTATAGTTTTACATCAGGAAAAAGAGATTATTTAGAATCTTATGAAGTGTTCCCTGGAAACAAAATCCAGATGTCCCTTTAGAGATAGTGCTGAAGTTTGTAATTAAATGGTTTTATATACAGAATTGTAAAATCTATTATGCTAACTTGTATTATGAATGGGGCACCATTTTCCTATGAAGCTTTCCATTCTAAAATCTTAAACTGAAGTTCTGTAGATAGGCACCCAAAATCATCTGTGTTCATACTAAAATCTTTAACATTAGCCCCATACTCCCAGAAAAGTTAACTTTCATTAATGTAAACCCACACAACTATTTGAAATAACTGCAGAATTTATAAAATAGTAGAATTCCACACAGACAGACAAACTGATCATATTTATGCCTTTGGTAGCCAGCAAAAGTTTCAAAATACCACAAGCAAACATGAATTTTGCAACAAAATACTTTGACTCTGTTATCCAACACAAACTACAGACTGCTGTAAACTAAACTTCACACCTGCCAGCTTTCAAATACTGCAATTTTGAGATCTTTTTTCACCAGTTTCATGCTGTTTTGAAAAAAAAACATATTGCAACAAGACTTAGAATGGGGAAATTGGAAAATGAGTTTAGACTTCTGCTCTACCATGGCAGGGGATGTGGCAGTAGCACTCAGCCCAATGAATGCTCTAAAAGCTTGCCAATTCTTTTCCTTTATCCCTAGGACACTGCTATGTTCTGACCTACATAAGAAATGTTTTATAACCTATCCACTACATGAAGTCTGGGAAAAAGTAACTATTTTTCTTACATTACAATCAAAACATTCATCCTTATGCTATGCAGCGTCTGTCTATAGAATTAAACCAATTATCAAAGAGATACTTGGCATATACCTGTGTGTTTTGCTAGGTTGCCCACAATTGGAGTGGTGAGGTTTTTTTACAAGCTAGTTTCAGGGAAGAAGACTGTAGAATTCAATGATTAAGTTTGCTTATTTATTTACGAGTATTTCTAAATCATCTACATCTACAGATTTAAAAGCTGTGTTAACTTTTCATAAATATATAAAATAATGGACAATAAAAAGACTACATCACTTCTACATAGGTTTGTAAGGTACACTATACAGGGAAGAATTACTTAAACAGATGGATCTTCTGTTTGTACATGTCCAATCTCAGGGGAAAACTTTCACATAGTGGCAGCTGCTGTATTAAATGTCCAATTGTGGAGCAAACCACAAAAGTATGTGGCCTCTCTAGGAGAATCACTAGATGACACCAAGATTTAATGGGACGTTAGAGGACTAGGTAGTTTTTCTGGAAATCAGTCCTGAGTTCTTAGGATTTCATATATTAATAACAAAAGTTGAAATCTGGCTTGGTAGACAATGCAATTCTTTCATCCCAGGTCCAAGAAGTTCCAAGCCCACTCTAATTCCTAAGGAAGCAAGCCAACCAGTCTTTCTTGAGTTCTGTCTAGCCTAAAGTCCTTGAGTTGGGGTGGAATGAGAAGATCCACAATAACTGCAGCATTACCAACTGCAATATGTGGGGGTAGCACAATTGACAAGCTTTCTGCTAACTCTCTATTTTTCTCCTACTCCACCATGCCCAATTTTGTCCTTTATTGCAGGGTAAGAACAACACTATCATTTGGCAGCTCCAGCTTTCCTGAACCTGTAGCCTGCAGCATAAGAAGCTCTTTTGGAATGGCTAGTTTTATGAAATCAAATAATACAGGTAGCAGTGTTGTTTTCATTTTTCTTTAAAAATTCAAATTCAGTAATATAATACCTTTTATTGCATCCACATTAAGAGATATTACGCAGGCATAGATGCAGTCATGTATATGTTTAGATACAGAAAAGTTATATTGTTCCCAGAATGTTGACAGCTGCAAGATTTCCCTATCTACACATACATAGGTTGCACCTTTATTTAGGCTACATTGAGGAAGGGATAAGAAGTATCTATTTTCATGAAAGTATATGAGACAAGGAAGCATGGATAGATGAAAACTGTGTTTTGGTTTGGTTTTGATATTTGGTTTCAAAAAATTTATAAGAGCGTCAACCTTTCATGTAAGGATCTACATATTTTATTCACAGATTGATTTAAAGGAAGTTCTGTGGCAACTTTAACCAGACATGACTCATGCAGTGTAAAATAATTTTGAGCTAAATACTAAATAAATAAAAATAGATATAGTATATATTGCTTACCAAAAACCTGCAGAAATGTCTGATTTGTTACTTTTCCTGCTTTATTTCTCGCTTCACAAATATATGGACCAGCATCAATATTTTTGATATCTCTGATGGTCAGTTCTGTATTACTTCCTCTCAAGACATATTTTTCATTTTCTTCAATACGTTTTCCTTTCCTAGAGAATAAAAGGATTTATATTCAGAAAGCACACATTCTAATATGAGAGGGTGAGCTGCATTCTCTGATCTAGAAGCTCCAAGTGCTATTTCCAGTGTTATTTCTGTCACAGAATAGACTAGGGATAAAAAGAAATGGGGGAAAATAAACAAAATCATAGGTCACTGGCCCATGAGCAATTGAGATATATTTTAGTAGGCCAACATTGAATGGCTAAAAGGAAGAACTGCGCAAATTAATATGGAAAGTGATAAGGTAGATTAATGATTAGCTTCAAATAATTCCAATTTAATTATGAGGCCTTTCAACCTGGTTGACCAACTGAAGGCATGAGAGTTCAGATGTGTACTGCTAAATTTACTATAAATATATATTCACTCTGTCACCCAGGATTGCACATTTAGCCATAATATCCAAAAAGTGACAACAAAGGTATTGCTCCCAACAATGAGAGCATTCTGAGATCCTGGGCTAGCAGGTTCCCTGCTACTTGCTTCAGTATACAATATCAACAGCCTGAAATTCTGTTGGTGTAACTCTTCTATTTCATTAATGGAAATGATAACCTGCTCATGCAATTTGTCTTTCAAAAGTTATGGAAAGAAAAAAATAACTCCTCAAAACTACATTTTATCATCTAAAAAAGCTAGATGTATACTGCAAAAGATGGAGATCACACAGCCCTTCCTTTCCTTAAAGAAAAAGGAAAAAAACACACAATGCTTAAGGAAATAGGAGGCTCCGCCTGTGTTATGGTACAAGGATATGACAGCAAAAAGATAAAGATCTCTAACATAATTATAGTCATAATTCAAGAAAATGAACCACAATGAAAGAAGGGATCAATGTACATTTTCTGAAAAATAAGTTAAAAAGAAAACACATCATCAGGAAATTTATTTTATCAAAGGTAATGTTCCTTGGAGATATTAGCTTGATTAAATCTGCTAAACCATTTATTTCAATACAGAAATGAAATTTGTAGGCAGAATCAGATTTATGAAACTTTTCCTGGATGGATTAATGGGATCATTTGTCAGCTCCTACAATGAGAAGACAAATACCTCACTCAGTAACCCATGGAAGCTGTTCTGTAGTGGTACAATGTAGTGAACCTATTCTGTAGCAATAGTACGTACATGCTTTCTCCTTCATCAGTGATTTCGAAATTCTTGCAGTGACATTGAAACTCTTGCAATTAATGTGTCCTTCCAAAATGAGCATTGCAATTAAAAAAAAGGTTTGCTAAAATAGTTCACAGCACTGGTCACATTTGCAATAACTAAATGCCTTTGTGTGCAACCAAACTAGTATCTGGATCTGATGTCTAATGTAATTGGAATTTGTTCTTAAGGGACTAAATTTGGATTGTACTTCATGAGAAAATCTGAATTCAAATCTGTCTCCATCCTACATGCACCTTATGTATAAACCAAATGACTGACATTTTATTACCTGTGTATTTCTTATATTTACATCATTCAAGCACTGTTCCATGATAATTTAGACAATTTCTAAGAAATATTCCATCTGGAATAAAATCAGATGTAATATTTGAGAGGAGAATACAAAATTTTACTTAATTAGTACTCAAATTGTTTTTTAAAAAATATATACTCAAAATATTTTATTACTATTTAAGACTACCTGCGTCAACTGCCTTCTAATTATCTCTGATAATATAACTGAACTCACCTGTACCAGTTGATTTCAGGTTCAGGAGAACCAGTTGCTCTACAGAATAAAGTAATTGCTTCTCCTCGATCTGCTGTAGCATTAAATGACCTTTGGAGCAAGGTAATAGCTGGAGGAACTGGACAAAATGTGAAAAATGTATGTGAAATTGGGCAATGGAAAGCACACAGGTTCTTCATGATGTCTAAAACAACTCCTCCATATCAACGTTATTTTCAAATACAGCAAAACTCTGGATTATGGGGAGGGTGAATACGGTTGAAGTACTAATTAAAACAAACTTATTTCCCTTCCTGAAAACATTTAATGATAATACCTCATTTTACTGACAGCAAGAATTAAACCAATGAACATCTTATAGTTCTATTTCCAACTTCTATTTGTTTAGCTTCTTTCAGTAATTATGATTTGGGGGTGGTTTTGAAACAATTGCAAAGAGAAGTTGCAACAGACATTTTATTATTTTACACTATTTTGGGATGAAGGTTTAAGTGTTTGTTGAAACATATTATCACAACACATACTTATTGTATGGGCTGGTAACACAAGTAATGGCCAGAAAAGAATTACACTTGCATTTTAATGTTTTATTGCACTGTTTTCTCTAGAAGCCTATATATACTTCTAGAGAAATCTGTTTTGGGGGTGAAATCCATTCCATTCCATTTCCCTACACTGGTACCAGTTCAATGTGACATGAGTTGAACCAACATGCAGATTTCCACTTTCAAACTGTCTACAATTGTGCAAGTCTACACACACACACACACACGGAGAGGATTTAGGCTCTGCAGCTCAATAAAATGACATAAAATATTTGTCACAATACAATCATTTTGAAACAAAAAGTAAAAACAGTTAAAATAACATTCAATAGGGCGCAGCATCACAAAAACCTGGAATGGGTAATCTCCTCAAGCCCTTGAATATCCATGTACATTTTGAAAAACCTTGGAATAGAGGGCCATCTTAACTTGGCACCAAAAACATGTCAAAGTTAGCACTAGGGAGGCTTCAGTGGGGGAGATCATTCCATAGATTAGGGTGGCGGGTGGCAGATAAAGCCTTCCTTCAGAGTTAGCATTTGGAGAAGGCCTCAGGATAGACTGTGATTGGAAGAGGCATGTTATCATGTACCACAGACTCAAGCCATATAAGGCTTCATGGGTTAAAATCAGCCATGTAAACCTTTATAGGTGAAAACAACACCTTGGCATGGACTTAGAAATATGCAAATAACCAGCCAGAACTGGTCTTCTATGTTTAGATCTAGTTAGGGTCTGCATTCTACAAGCTACAGCTTCTGAATAGTCTTCAAGGGCAGCTCCAGACAAAGCATAGCTTGGTTACCAGTCAGAGCTGGTAGTAGGTATTCCACATCACTGAGGCCACCTGAGGCTCAACTGAAAAAGATAGATCAATGAGAACCCTAAGCAATGGGCCTGCTGCTTCAAGTGAATGCAACCCCTTTAAGAACCAGTTGAACACCTTTGATGCAGTCAGAAGAACCATCTCAGTCTTATCTGCATTGAGCTTCACAAGAGAGGTTGGAGCAGTATTACAGTACCTCCTATCCTGGCCACTCTAGTCTCCTCCTCTTCCTTTCAGCTGAAATGTTCCATTTAACCCATCTCTGAAGTTACTTTCCTGACCTCAGAGAACAACCAGTGGAGTTCTTTCCATATCAGCTGTGAGGGGTGGGATATTTGGGGTTCTGATTCCAAAGCCAAAACTGAAGTACATTGTCCAACTTCAGATATGGGAATCCTCACCATCCTAGGGCCCTTCAGACCATGTTTAGGGGGTTGTAGATTCATTCCCTCCATGTATCATTGTTAGAATCATTGCTTTTCAGTGAAACAATATAAGGGAAGTATACTTTTTTTAAAAAAATACTCCAGTTAAATTGTCCACATAATGTAACATTTTACTCATATTAAATGTGCTGTAAATTCCCTATTCAAATAACTGAAGATAGATACACCAATTTATTGAAACAAAATACTAACATGGCCTAATTTCTTGTTTATGAAATACAAATAAAATAAACACAGACAATTAAATCTTATCTAACACATCTGAAAATTTTCCAAGCAAATTTGCAAATTGGATTTTTTTCCAATTCAGGGTTTTCCAAAACAACCCCTCCCTCAAAAGTCATATCACTGCCAAAAATGCTTTTTAAAATACAAAATTGTAATGCTCTCAAGAACCACCATCTCAAAAGCCTGAATAATGCACTGTTTAATGCAACTCACATAATTCAGGCACCTGGATTCTTAAATTAATACAATTTCAATGCAAATAAGAATGGAGCTTTCTTGGGCACATCAATGTAAAGATTCTGATTAATGTTAATTCACCTACTTTAAATGAAAATGTATCCTAACACAAATTCCTGACAGTGATGCAGATGTACTGCAACTGTGCACTGATGTGAGACAGCAGTTTCAAATTAGCTGTCTAGTAGTGATGCCGCTGCCCCCCATATTTAATTCCTATAAACAAACTATAGTTCATTTTTATTGCTTGAACTGTGTCAAGTTTAAACTTTAGTGGAAGAGTTGACTTCTGCAGTTCATTATTCACACTAGTCTTCTAAATCTGTCTCTATTACGCTGCAAGATAGTCAAAGGATTGAATCATGTGTAGAAGAAAAATAGTCACAGATTCACAGGCATCTTTCCATGATACTGTATTAGATAACTTCTCAAACTTCTGCTTATCCAAGAGGTTGCATGAGTTCCTTTTTGTCTTTACATAAATGGTAGATTTAGTTTAAATTTTCTCATACCACCTTATTCTTAACAGAAAGTGTAAAACAGCATGTCTATGAGTACCTTCTTGGCACATGTGGAAGTACCTATTTCAATCCAAGCCATGAATATCTGTATTACTTCAAAGATTTTCCGATTTGATCTTAACCAATCTGAGTTTTGTCAGATTCACAAACTGGTTCTTGTCTAGCCTTTTAGGTACACAATAAGTTTTTCTCAGTTAAAAACAAAGGCCATCATAAAACAGGAAAAGAGGGTAGGGAGAACCACAATAAATGGTAGAAACAGATACACAAAACCCCTAATAGATATTTAATAATCTATTTTCAAAAGAAATCATAACAAACTTGATATTTAATGCATTCATTCTGATGTGCCAAAAGCATACATACATTCTCGGAGAACTGGTAAACATTTCTTTCTAGCCACCCTATACAATAGGCAATGCAACAAGGGCACACATATTAGATAAGTAAAGAAATAAGTCAATGTGCAAAAATTAATTTGTAATTAATGCATTATAAAGAGGAATTTTCCCACACCTCCCAACAATATTTCACCTCCTTGGAGTTTCTTCAAATTTAGTCAGCAGATAAAACAAAGGAAAAGGAAGATCAGAAACTATATTTTGCTTATGGAAGCTCATATGCCATTTGGCCATAAGCTGCATTTAACTGAGATCAGAACATTGAAACAGAAAGTTGAAAACATTTTAGAAATGTAATTCATTTCTGCACTTTTACATTGAATTGCCCCTTTCATTTTGCTCAAGTATTGCTACCTTAAAAGCTGAAAAAGAGTCTCTATATTCAGAAAAAAATGGATTCTAAAACATCAAGAATATATTTTCCAGTGATTCTAAAAAAGTACTTTCACTTTATATAATCCATATATTTTGACTTGGTAGCAAATTTGCCATGGATACTGATATGGCACAAGTTCATGAGAGAATGTTCCACAATATAGGTACTTTCTATGTCTGCTTGGCCAGTACATACTACAGGGTTACTTTGGGGGCATTCTAATCTCCATAAAGATAACCTTCCATAACCTGTTTGTATCCTCTATGGCTTTTGACTTCACATTTCAGGAATCTTGACCATTGGCCATGCAGAAGCCTTAGTTCCTTTTCCCCCCTAAGCTTCACCAGAACCACCATGCAATTTTTGTACAGAGTCATGCCTTAAAATATAACAACATTTTTGAGTTTTTAAGATGGAGACATGCACTTTGAATATTAATAATAGAGACAGCATGGAGGAAACTACAGCCAATCTACATGAAAATTTGCAGCACATAAATGGCTCACCACATGAAACAACCCACACAAGGAAGCAATTGTATGCAGCCTCCGAATTACAGCTATTTTAAGTGAAATGAAACAAACTATATGGAGAAGTAGTGCACATTAAACCTTTAAACATTAGGCTTCTAAACTGTTCATTTTTAGTTTTTGTAATGGCAATTTAAACTTTATAACACTTTGTTATTTTTACATAGCTTCATTAAACATTTCAAATGGCCTTTAAAAGTTCCTTTAACTACAGGATAGTTAAGTAGTTTGTTATTGGGAATGGGCAAAGACACCTTCATCAGAGCACATGGAATTTTAATACATAATCAGTTTAAATTAACTGCAATTAATGGCTAACTATGCATCACACATATTTTTGTATAAATTAAAACTTAAAATGAAACATATTGCCTTTTAATTGTTTACCTCAAAACTGTGTTTTTGTATAATTTCTAAAACAGCCTATATTTGTAACACACACACACACACACACACACACACGCGCGCGCACATACAAAATCAACTTCCTCACAAGGAGTAGAGGTAATACACTTTTTTAAAATGGAACTTGGGAGAACCAGGAAATTACAGTTATTTAACAGTCATTTAGCTTCTCTTACAAAAAAATTAAGTGTTATTAAAGCTAGAATTGTTAAATGTATAAGAGAACAAGGTTTCAAGAGCATCAGTCAAAGGGAAAGATGTCTTACCAAACTTTCAGAATTACTTTGCAGCAAAAACAAACTTTTCTGCCAGCATAATGTGCTACTGACTCCATACATGGACTTCCAAAAAGCATTTGACAAAGTTCATCACCAAAAGCTCCTGGGCAATCTGGCAGTTTAAGTGAAGATAAACTGAAAACAAGGATATGCTTGCCTAACACAACCATTTGACACTAATAACCCAATATAACCGAATGATAAGAGGGACTTGCTTTTTTTGGAGATAAAGTATTTGTTGTACTGTACTCTGCATCAAGTCACATGTGAACTTCATGTTCAAAACAATGTTCATAAAATCTAGTTCAGATGGATAGATTCCTGGCTGCAGTAACCTTATTGAGTAAAATAGTCTTAAGCCACAGTAACAGCATGTTAATAAGTTATACACAATATTGTAGCACTGTTATGCGTAGGCATGGGAAGGAATGAAGCTACAGATTCATATTTATAATCCAAATTTACTTCAGTATAGTACATTTCTAGTGAAAGTACTATATTTCTTTGCACAAATTAGATGAAAAGGCTTTATCGCCTACATGTAGTCTGAGGCTTAAACTGTTAGAAATGAATTTTGACATAGTAACATTCAGTGTTAGGTACTCTAAAATATCCTGTTTCGAAACAAAAGTCCTGTGTTGTACCATTCCTAATCAATACTTGTTTCAGTGCAGGACTTAAAACTCCAGAATCTAAAATTACTTAACTGTTCCAAGTATCCTATTTTTAAGTCCAGAATCCCTAGAAAAATAATATCTTCTTGCCCCACCTCTTGAGAAACGGAACTGAATACCAGCGTGTGATATTAATTAGTAGTTAGAGCTGGCACCCAGTTTTTGGTTCGAATGGAAATGGAAAGTACTTTAGGGATTTTACTGAAGCAAAATATATCTAACAATTTCAATTTTAAAAAATCATAATAATTATGAAATGTTCCAGTTGTATATATACACTTGATCAAGTTGAAGATTTGGACACTTTCCAAGAAGCATAACCTTTCGACCATCTCCACTTTCAGCTCCTGACTTCGTTCTCCAACTTGCAGTAGAATCTTGGATTTTACTTTCTGATTTTGTTTTTAATGACTACAGAATGTGTGTTCTTATTTTTTCCACTTTAATCATTTATTTGCAAGTAATAATTTGCAAATGTTAATTGTCATCTGATTCCCTTCCCAGAATAATCTACCAATGAAGATCACATCAACATCGCAACAGATTGAGCCTAATCTCAATCCCCCTTCCCTTTTCAGTGGTTAATTTTAATCCCTAGAGATCTGATATGGTGGAAATTATTGCAGAAGGGCTTCACACTGCAGAATCAAATAAAGCAGCTGGCACAGGCCAACACAACTTTGCAGGTGACCCAATAAGCTCAACCTGCTCCAGTGCCTGCTCCAGCTCCTATTCCTGCACCAGTTCCCATACCTCAAAGAAAATGACCTGTCAAACCACCGGCCAAATTTGTTGGAAACTGGAAGCAGTTTCCCACCTTTTGAGGTCACACAGAGCTATATATGAGACTCAGACCTGAGTCTTAGAAAGTTGAATTCATAACTGTTCCCAGTCAGCATCCCGTCACCCTTATCCCAGAGCACTGCAGCATTCACACTCATGTTTTCACAAAATTTGAGGAACACTTGCAACTTGCTACAGGTATGGGAGGGAGATAAATGGGATAAAAGGCTTTCTTCAGTAGGTATGATGCATTTGAATTACTCATGATGTCTTTTGGTTTGGTGTGGGTCCCTACTATTACACATTTCATGACTGAATTTTTTCAGGACTTCCTGGATAAGTTCCTGATTATGTATTTGAATAATTTGTTGATCTACTTGGATGATCCTGCTTTGCATTAACAGAATGTGGAAGTTGTGTTGCAACCCATCAGGAAAAATTGCCTGTCTGCCCAGATGGAAAAGTGTGCTTTTAATTTCCCTACCTCAAACATTTTGGGATATGCATTTTGGGATATAAGATTTCCACATGGAATGCCTTGAGATGTACTCTGAGAATGTTCAGGATGTTTTACCTTGGGAATCTTCTCATACCAAATGTGAACTGCAAAATTTGGTAATCTGATAATTTTCAGTAATTTTTACCATAACTATGTATGTAATGGTGGACAACTGTGTCCACTTTTCAGCTCCTTCAAATGATTTACTTAAGGGAAAAGTAAAATGTTTCTTTCCTTATCAATCTTGAAACTTAACCAAACAGAGCAAAATATACCATTTGGGAGAAGGCGCTTCTAGAACTTCAATTTATACTTGAACTTTGGAAACATTTTCTAGAGAGGGCAAAGTATCCTTGGGGAAAGTATTTATTTCAGAAAACACTTCATTTTCTACTGAAAAACCTACCATTTGCTCTGCTGCAAGAAGCAAAGCAAAAAATAAAAAGGAACAGTTTTTCCTCCTCCTCTCTTTCCTTTTTCTATGACCTCTATGACCTTTAGCAAGGAGGTCATAAAATCACCTGAACAAGATAACCTATAAAAATAAATAAGTAAACCTTAACAAAAAATAGCAAACATCCTTGCCCTGGACCTTGCCTTGTTTTTAATGTTCTGCTTTACTAAATTAGAATTGACTTTAAATATAAATACGTGAACAACACTTAGTATGAATATTTAGAAGAATTCCATAAATATTGCTGATTATATTGACATTTAGAATCATGATATACTACACTGTTCTACTGTTACCATATCATTTAAAATTGTTGATGGCTTTTGAAAAAAATATATCGAAGAACAATTCATGAGTAGCATGAGTTAATATTTATAGTTCATGATAGGAGATAATAACTTTGTGCAACCATAACATATTGACTCAGTTCTAGAAGGGAAAGTTTTCTGAAATCTTGAAAGAACATAATCATTCCTGCAGTATCATACTCACTAAGAGCCCACTCATTCAATATTAACAGTCATATTATATGCTTATAAATATTGGCATTATGCATGAATGTTATAACAACTTAAATATTTACATACCAACGTATAATGATCTATAGTGCATTTTGTGGTGTACTAAAACCAGAGGAAACCTTAACTGTGCATATTATTTGTAGTGATTATATGTTAATGCTCAGTGGACTTGTAAATCATTTCTTGTTATTTTATATTAAGTGGCATATTCTTGTGTATTTTCCTGTGTGTTTAGAGAAGTCTGCAGTAATAAGAATTGCAGCTTATTGCAATTAATCCCCCAATATTTATTTTCATTATTCTAAGACACCAAAGCAATATACAATAATTTAGAATGGTTCTTCTCCTTACCATTCACAAGTACAATGATATCCCGAAAGTCAATTTCTCCTCTGGCTTCTACTCTTCCTTCACATCTGTAAACTCCTTCATCACTTTTATTGATTTTAAGAATTTGAAGATTATTGTTTGGCAACATGGCAAATCTATCTGTAAATGCATGTGAGAGATAAAATAGTATCAATAAGTGAAGGTACTACTGTGAATTTAAATGCCTAACTACTGCAACAAAATCAACACAACACATTTCTACATAAATGCAAAATGTAATCCTACTTCAGTCCTCCTACCTCAGATTCTTTAAATCCTGATTTTCTGAAATGCATTGCTTTACATTTTTACCAATGTACACAATATAAATAACAGTCAATCTTATGCAGCCCATATCACAGTTAAGAAATGTGCAAGGGATGGTTAACTATGAACTAATGGATATAACTGAATTTCAATAGCAAAACATCGCCTATCAAACAAGAAGTGCCTCTTTTAGGAGTTTCTCTTTTAAGGCAGCTTTTTCACATGCTGAACTTCAGTATTACCACACCCCAACACTGCTGAATATTAGGTGAATGGCAAAGCTTCCACATTTAATCAAAGTCCTTGCTACCACTGAAGTAGGTTAAACCAGTAATGTACCCCATGTGTTGTGAGCCGCCGCGAGGCTTTGTTGCGATGGGGCGGCATAGAAATGTTTTAAATAACTAAATAAATATCAGAATTATCCATAGGGAAGTAATATTATGAATGATGAATTTCAGTTTCAAATGATGAAACTGAAATTGTATAGCAAATGGTTCATTTTATGCAAAATATAAATTTCATTAGAGAAACCCCAAAACATAATTTCATCTTTTGTTAACATTTATTCAGGTGTTCTTCATGATTAATTTAGTTGATGTCCACTAGAGACTTGCTTCAGAATTACTAGGGTAATAGGGAATTTCAAGTAGTATCTAAACTTGGGTATAGAAAAATATTGCCATGATTATATTCTTGTCTGAAATCCACAGAAATTAGAACTGAAATGAACATTCCTGAAATCAGGGTTCTCCATGCCCTAATTTGTCTTAATATTGAATTGCACAATTTAAAATCCACAGAGATTGAGCAGAACAAATTATTTTTGCATCTGAAGCAACAGCTTTAGTTACTCAAGAAGAATGCACTGATCGTGACCAATAGAGAGTAAAAGGATGTTATTTTCCCCCAGAAAGTGGGCATTTAACATTGCTATATTATTTGGAAACAGTCACTGGGATTAAAGACAGGCTATGGATGAAGGTTACATAACACATTAAAAATAGCCATAAAAAGCCATAGGGATTAAGAATAAACAATCTCAAAATGGTACAGAATATGAATTAAAATGTTGATTTTCTCCATTATTTAGGTTTTATTCTATTTAGTCAGAGTATTATATTGGTAATCAGAGCAGCAATCTAAATCTAAATCTAAAATATGATTATAATTTCATGCACAATTCAGCACAAACAGCTAGCAGTGAGCACCCAAGGATGGGGCTGCCCAGTTTCAGTCAAAAATCACCCTTCTTATCCTTTTGGATGCACCAATTGAACCAGTTCAGGGGGTGGTGTGCCAATGTGGAATGTTCAAACAGGAACAGAAATTACCAATTTCTTTCCACTAGATTTAGGAATTGCTGGAACTTGGAGAAAGGGGAAGACATAGACTTGTGCTTTAAATAAGGTCCAATGAGACTACTGAAGCTGGAGATGGGTTCTGCAGTTTGGTAGTAAGGATGTAGCATCAGTAGGCAAGTCTTTCTTGTTTACCCAGCAGAGGTCTTCGTAACAGGTGCATACTGGGCTGTATTTGCAAATAATGCATTATCTTTATTAGAGGGACAGATTTTTCACTGTCCAGTCTTGCACATCTCTACCTGAGACTTTGCATTCCCTAACATGGCTGATATGTGTGTTCATGTGCATCTAAACATGGTTATTCAGTCTTCAGTAACAGCAGCAGTCTGGCAAAACAAGTGAAGATTAACAAATTTTAGAATCTTTCTGATCCCTGTCTTCTGTACTATGCTTGGCAAAAATCATGCAAACAGTTAGGGGAAAGAGTACAGAGTTCTGTCATCACAAACAACCAACACTTCACCTTGAGAACTCACTTATAATTCAATGGCGACCAGATCCCTAAATTACTGAAATCACTGAAATAAATATTCACATGGGCAGAATAATCTGAAAAATTAATACTTTAGTTGCACTATGTGAATTTAACTCTCACATTTTTGGTCATCCTGTACAACTGTTCAATTGGAATATTAATGTATCCTTCTTTAAACTGGCTGAATGTAGAATAAAAACATATAATTTAAAGAGTTACCAAAATACTAACTGTCAGCAATATTTGAGACTTCCTCATTTTGATACAACCAGCTGACAATAGGTGCAGGTGAACTAGTAACACGGCAAATGACTTGCACATCTTCTCCCTGTACAAATTCTTGTGGAGATGAGATATCTTGGAATGTGAGCTTTTCTAAGAAAGAAGAAAGCACAATTTAACAGCTTCTCCTGGCCTTTGCTGAGAATTCATAAATAATAATTAGAATTTATTCAGCACTTTAAAATGTTTGAAATACTCTGGATACAACACTGGAAGTATTCTTAATATATTAATCTGCTGCAAAGAAAATAAATAAATGTACATTTAAAATTCAAAATTAACAGTTTCATTTTATTTTTCCAGTTTCATTTTATTTCTCATATCAATTTTCACAAGAGCAAGCATCCTTTACAAAATTAATCTGCTAGTCTACAAAAGATCATACCATAATCAATACATTTGTGTTCAAGGATTAAGGTTCCAGATATGTCCACTTTTAGGCAATGTGAATTTATGAATGGGCCTTATAAAAATATGGGCTAGATCTGCCTCCTTTATTTATTTATGTTAGACATTTTTCTATAAAAAATATCCAGTGTTTCTTACAAGGCTTAAAACATGCAATAAGTTTGTTGAGAATCTAAAAAAGATTTAGACCAGTCATCCAATCAATGTGCAATGGACACACCTTCACAAGAATAGAAACCTTATCAACCAAAGTTATTGCAAAGAATTTGGACTGAATTCAATTGTCTTATGCTGTCTCCTCTGAAAATTGCACTGTGAATCTTTACAGTGTGACTCGTACTTTAAATAGGGAAATTCAGTGAAATTTGGGATAAGTTCTATTACACCACTTTCAATATATGCAATTTCTAAGAAATAACAACAGGACAAACCCATTCCTTCTAAGATTAAATTTAGCAAACATTATACTCAACATTTTTGTATGTCATATCTAAAAAGAGAGTCTCATCATTTTATTTTTAATCCCACTTGCAAGTAACTTACGGTAAATTTCTAAAACAACAGTAGCTTCTTGAGTCAGTCCTCCAGAATCTGTTGCTTGACACCTGTATATCCCAGCATCTTCCACATTGGCATTGTAGATGGTTAGTCGTGATCTGACACCTTCTTTCTGCACAACTACTCTTTGATTAGAAACAATCTTCTCTCCTTGTGGGTTGTACCAATCTATACTCTCTGGTTCACCAATTACTAATGGATAGATAGATAGGATATCAAGGTACATAAAAAGTGTTTGATTAGACAGTATATTTAATTATGTTTTCTATAATCAAACTTTCCTGACTGATGTATATTTTGGAAACAAATAAGATTTTTTTAAAAGAATATGATCAAATGAAGCATGTTGATTCAATATTTTGGGACAATGTTAAGAACCATTTTGGGACAGTGATGAACTAATATGAGGTCAGAATTTGCCTTTTTGAGTGAAACCTGTAGGGCACACAGAACTAGTGACAATGCAAATGCCAATGCAGATCATTATATATTTAAATGAACTATTTATCAGTGCACAATGAATCAGTGCACAACTTTAACGGTGTTAAAGAAGTCATCCATGCATATTGGCAGCAATTTGATTACAATGCAACTTAACTTTACCTTGTTTTTTTTATAGTCTAATGGAAGAATTCTTTTGCACCAAGACTTGACTGAAAAGTAATTTTAGAGGCTAGGTAAGATTAATTGGCCTATTTTTTCTTATCTGCTTTGGCACATGGTCTCACTTTAAAAAATGCTGTAATTCCACAGACCTTTGGAAAATATTGGAAAATATTGTTTTAGAGAAGTCAAAGTTCCCTTAAAAACCATTTTTATCAAGAATATAAATATGTTGCTATATCATGATGAAATGGGAGGGGAGAATGCAAAGAGTAAAATTGCACTAAAGATGCAAACTTTAATTTCTGATGTGGACATTTGTCTCATTGAAAACATCCTGCACAAAGAAAATGAAGACTTTGGTGGAGAAAAATGTTACAGAAGCTGCCTCCCTGATGATTTACTGCCCATGAACATGCAAAGCAGGGCTATATCAAAAGTCTGTCAGAACATTTGGAGATTCCACAGAACATGCTAATTAGTGAACAAAGGTCAGTAAAGTATGACATTCTTCAGAAGGAGTGTCTGCCTTCCTTTATCCCTTCCATGCTGGATCATGGCAGGCTTTAGATGCATGAGAATGTGGAAAGTAAGAGCACATAGATTTACTCTTTGCCTATTTTAAGTGTTTTCATAATCTCAAGAAATGGATTTTTTTCTGAATTCAGAAATAGCATTGCTTATCTACTGCACTCAAGGGTCTTTCAAAACACAGTAGCAAGCATGAAGAGTGTGCAAAATAATTTCTTGTCACTGCCTATTTTGCAGCCAGCAATATCATAAGATTTCTAGACACACTGCATTCAATAGGATTTTCTCTCAGTTGGTACAGAATTGTGGTCTTAGTTCACAGGATAAGCTGAACATTATCTCCGTGCATGAGTATTTACTACATGCCACACAATTTTTCATCGTGTAATTATTCACAAAAATGACTCACATGCATGTCACTCATCACTCAATTAAATGCCTTCAAATGAATATTCAAAAAAAGAACTGGCTTTGAAGAAACGAGCTATAAAACAGAGGCAAACAACAAAACAAAAACCAAAAGAATGATGGTAACAAAGAGCTTCTGTTTAAAAAATAATAATTCAACCATGTAATACTTTGTATGGTCAAATCATTCCTTCATACTTGATATATAATTACTTTGGATTCTTTTTACTAGTCCTCTTTAATTATATGTTATTAACCCAAATTGCAATTTGTTGAAATTAGTTTATAAAATAATTATATGGAATCATGTAATAACTAGTGACTCCATAGTTTATAACTGCATAATGTATACTTAAATTCTAATAGGTTGTTTCACATGATCCATCATTTCCTGACATATGATACCCTTTCCAATCCTATTTTCCAATTTCCAATTGAAAGCACATTTGTAGGAAACCTGAAGCATTTATCCAACTAGTGATGGCTGAATTTTCAGCCTTTTCCATTTCAGAAGTTTTTTATCCTGAAGAGACGTGCTAATTAGGATCAATTCTTATAAAAAGTGAACTAAAACCAAATTCCAATCCATAAGGAATTTCAAAGGGCAAATCTATTCCCAGAATGGAAAGAGCCATGTTTTACCCATCTGGTTTATAGCTGTTAAAAAAGAAGCAGTGCCCCTAATTCAGCACTGACATGGCTGGGTATGCTTGTATTTCTAACAGATGCACAGAAGGGGAAATTTCAGCAGGTGTCTTTTTTCACATTATGTTCCTGACTGACAGGAATGTCCATATTTCAAGTAAAACACATGCCACATATTCAGTGACAGAAAGCAAAATCAAAATTAGGGCTGTGGAAAACACTAGATTTCAAGCTATTCAGAGAAGAGGACCATATGCTACTAAACATCTCAATTATATCATGCAGTTTAAAGAAAAAACACCATGGCAGATATTAATTTTAAGTGGAACAGTTGTTTTCCAATGCTCAAAAATAATTTACTTGGCTGCTAACAAAGTTTTACGGAACCAGTTTGCCTGTAAATCAGATACTGCCAATGTTACTATATAATCCAAAATACTATGAAGAGATAGGGGGGAAAAGGATACTAGATGCTACCAACACAGAGCAACTGCAGCATATGTATTTTAGAGCCCCTCCCCCCATTTGATTCCATGACACCTTGCTAGGAACAGATAAGGACCAGGTATAAGGGACATATAATTAGTATCAGCAAAGCATGGATAGATGCCGAACAATTGTAATGTTAACCCCTTGAATCAGCATTTAACAGTAGTATTCCACAAAATGAAATACTGTTAATGAGCTTTGAAGAATCCTTATGTCGTGCAAGTGTAATATGCAATGAATTACACAAGCATGATGCAGAACCATTTGCAGAACACGTTGCACAAGCATACATGATGCACAATAGTATGTGCAGTTGTGTACATACATTACACGCAATTAATGTGCAATTGCTTGTGCCTCCATGCTTGTGCAAATGTAACTATAGTTGAATTCTTTTCCTCAGCATAATTCAGAACTTTTAGTTACCAGTAGCAGAAAATCATTTGCAGTAATGGAATGACATAACTGGTAGTAATTACTCCAGAAATATGATTGAAGGGTGTTATAAAGGTACATATAATGAATTTGTCTAGTTTCTGGAAGGAAAGTAAGGCCCATGTGAGATCCTCTAGCAGTGCTACAAAAGCAAAAGAACAAAACAAAGCTTATTTTGTAACAATTATTGTTATGCATTCCCCTGCTGCCTTAGTGGAAACCCAGTGGACATCATTTTTCACCTTATTGAGAGGAGAGAAACTCTTTTTGATGCAGTGCAGTGAAATCAAGCAGAATATTCAAGCAGGTACAGAAGGCCAACTAATTTCTTTTTTCTTTTCTTTTTGAACATACATTTAAAAATAATAAAATCTGCTGTATGTAGAACAAGATCTGTACATATTCCAGTTTGTTTGTGCATGAACCATTCAAAGTTATTCATTTTAGTGAGAGTCTTGTCTTTCCTGTTGGCAGAAGTTTATTTGATGTGTGAAACTTAAAGTTACATGATAATGTCAAAGTTCTGGACTTGCACATTCACACTACTTTGACCACATGGTCAGCAGAATGTTGAATATCCGTGTTCAACCTTCCTTTGCTGTCATCTTCTTGGAGCTTCTCCCATCACTGGGACCTATGTTAGAGTTTGCCCTGATCAAGTCTTTCCATTTCTAAATTCCAAGTCTTCATCACTCACTGCTTCCTCTGGCCCCTGCATCTTAGTGTGTATTAGAATATATTAATCAAGGGCATAAGTCAAGTTTTGTTTCATGAAGAATCTCATTTTTCTGTTGCTTATGCTTGTTCCATCCCATTTCTTCATTGGATTGAGATAGTATTTTTTTAGTCTGCATGGGAGTCTGTGAAATGTGAATATTTTGAAATGTAATTTTTCATAATATAGACAATTTTTCTATTCATATTTTCAAACTTTGTGTGCACTGTTTCAGATCTATATATTAGTTTTGTTGCTTCCTGGTTCTTATCCAGATGCAGTGTCTGTTCAAACTCATTCTTTCTGCTTTCTGTCCAGCCAATAGCATACATTCTATTGGTTGACTGTTCTAATAAAAAAAGATGAACTGAAGGAAGAAGAGATTTTTTTTTTTCAGTCCAGTCTCTGCTTGAACATTTTCCTTCGTATGTCCTCAACTTGTCTCCCTTCTTCTTAGCTGTCCCATCTCCTGGAGCCTCTTCCCAAGCTTTCTAATCTTATGCCTCCCTAAATTTTCACCCAGCTGTTATTGACCTTAAATCTGTGAGAAATGCCACTTACTGCAGTTCATAAAGCTGGAGTTTTACAAAAATAATTTTCTGCTGAAGATGAAATGGCCACAATCATTTCAAGACATAACAATAGTTCTGCCAGTGTGAGCCAGAAGGTACAGCATGAGCATGATAGCTCTGACTGACACATCACCTAACATGTTAGAAAGTATATGTATCCTAAAAGAAATAACATGTTTAAGAAAAACACTTAAGCCATATAATTTACGGTCTGAATAAATCGTCAGAGCATTTTCACCAGGAAATTCTCATTGTACATGTTTAACTCATTTCAAATTGACTTCTGTTAGAGAATTTCATGGATGATCATTTCATTAGTCTTTGTTTCTCCATTTAAAAGTTTGAGATTCTACAACAGTTTATTAGGTTTCACCCTTGCACGATTCTCCATAATTTTATTCAAGTTTTTGGCAGGGTTGGACTGATGCAGATTTTTTTTTCAAGTTAAGTTGGTTTTAGTTTGTTACTGCATTACGAATAACGAAAACACATGTTGTTAGTCAATGTAGGCATTGGTAATGTTATGCAGATAATATACACACCTGTGCATGTGAAGAATTTGGATACACCCACACTGACTTCTACCTTGCTGAGGGAAATTGACACTTGAAGTGCTGTAAAACACAGAAGAAACAGATTGAAAGTAAAACTGCATGTGCCTGCTGAGAGAAACATTAACTGCATGTGTACATTGCTTCCTCTACAAATAGGATTTCTATTTGAAAGAGACGAGATTAATCCCACCTCCTGGAATAGTTTGAAGTACGACTACCATTGTTCAGAATAATAGTACCACATTGCCACAGTTTGGAAGCAGAATTCAGAGGGTGAATATGCTTAAATGAAAGGACCAAGCTCTTTGATTGCTTCTTTCAAGACCCAAACCACTTTCACATACCACCTAGCTATGTATATTGTTATATAAAACTCACATAAAATTCTTTACAAATGTATGTTTTTCATAACCTGTGCTAAAGTGTGGGACAACACAAGTGTGGGAGAAACTGTAATGTGTAACTTGATCCATTTAAGAGTATCATGCTTCCTGCTCAGTTGCAAAAATAAAGTATTTGTGTACTCTTAGCATAATGTAAAAAGCAACTAAAATGGGATTCAAGGAATGTGTTGAGGGACAGTGTGTTTCCTAGGGATTCAAACCCATCTTGTTCCTTGTGTTTACCCCAAACAGCCAAAACAGATTCAACAGCTCTCGAATTGGATACTTTACTCCTAGCACAGAAATAGCCACCACTGCCCCATCTTCTGCCTTGGTTTGACACTAGATGGCAGGAATGTAGACACAGTGGCTGCTGCACCAGTTTTCTGCAGTCATGGAAGGTATAATTTCCTCTACCCTAGGTTAATCCTGAACGTGTTCAGCCAGACATAAGCCTCTAGATTCATCCCAAATAAATGTGTATAGCATAAGGCTGATCTTGAAATGCCTGGCTACCTTGGGTACCCTATTCTTAGGCAGTAAAGTTGGGAGCAGAACTTTTTCCACATGTGGGGCTCACCTTATACTTCAGTGGCAGGGGACTTACAGTTTAGAAGCTGGCTATTTGCAAAGGCTTTGCTTTCTTTTTAACAATTTGATAAAGAACCCCCCCCCCCCCAAATGAACAACTTTTGCATCCAACTTCAGTTGCCTTGCAGGTAGCAATATGAACTTAGATCTCACTGAGTGCTGCAACCGCTTTCTCAGTGCAAGCTGCTTTAGCCCCAAAGTGCCTCACATCTTGAAAAGTTCACTACCTGGCTATTCTTATCTCCAGCCTGCAAACTATTCACAGAACAAAGGGCATTGTACTTAAGGTCCTGGACTGTTGAATATGGAAGCTGTTGTGGTTTTATTGGTAGTTTAATGTAATTGGGAAGTATAAAAATGTATAATAAATAAAGTATAAAAAAAAGTATAATAAATTGTTGGGTGTTAAAAATATTTGAACACTTGTAGTGTATCTTCAATACAATTTATTAACATCAATGCACTCCTTTTAGAATTTTCCCATGAGTTTTCTCAAAATGTGTTGGGAACCTTATTACCCAGTGCTGTTTTTATTCAATATTCTTTTTATCATTTCTCCTAAACAAAGGACTCCAATAAAAACTGTATTTTATAAGTTACACTTTGTAAAGTCTGCAGTGTCCTGCTAGACATGAAGAAACTATGAAGAGACTTAGTTGAACTTCCCATTTAACTCAGGAAATATGAAATCATAACTAATCTGTTGTAGTTATTTCAATGGGAACTAATGTTATGATTCTTGTGGTTCTCTTTGGAGTTAAGCACCAGAATCACTGTTTTAATAACTCCTTTCATCTGCCAGTCTTTTTGGAAGCAAAATTTACTGCAGATTACAAATAAATTTTTTTGCATGAAAAGAAACAGGTTGTGTTAGCTTTCTATAGAAGTTGTCTATTATTGTAACATAACCCAGCTGAAAGTTGATTTCAGACAAATTAGTGAAGGAGCCTGATTAGTTTAACTAACACTATTTGCTTTTGTAAACAGCAGCTTGCATAGGAGCTTGGTTAGCCTAACAAATGCCATTTGCTTTTTGTATAACTGCTTGCTTTGAAGAGGAAAAAGGGAAGGCAAAGGAATGTTGATAAAGAGGCAGTGAGTGGAAAAAGATCCCCCACTCAAGGACTGGCACACAGTGATCACGCTCCCCCTGTGAGGGGCTTGGACTTAGATAAGCAGCTGCACGAGGCCAGGCATGCAGTGGACATGCAGACCCCGCAAGGGGATTGGGTGAAAGGTCAGGCAGACCCTGAGAGGGGATAGGGTGAGGGAACAATGGGGGTGAGATTAAGTGGAAAAAGAGAGGAAAAGGAGGAATGTGTGTGTGTCGCTGCCTGCCTGGAAAAGGAGGAATGTGTGTGTGTCGCTGCCTGCCTGCGTGTAGGGAGTGGACACCCAGTTGCTTTGCTCAGCTGAATAAAGAAAACTGAATGAATCTCTGCCTGACTGAACCTCATTGGCACTTGGTTTAGTGGGTCTGTAAGTCACCTGGCTAGCAGGGACATCAACATTAGGACTAACCATCCTTCTCAGTAACAGCTATTTCAAAAGATTCCAAGGCAGTTCCTTATTTTCCAGAACCAATCTCTTAGATAATTTTACACCTCATGTTTGGTTTTCCTTTATTAACTGACATCTTACAGTCATGGCCACTACCACTTCTTTTTCCTTTTCAGAGTGGCTGTGGTTGTCAGTGAGTTTAGGAACAGTCTGACTCCTCCATTATCTGGTCTTGGCCCTACACTCGGTGATTCCCACCCACCACTTCATAGGAATCAGAATCGGTTCTCATATTCTTTGCAGAGGATTCTCTGAAAAGTTGATGGACCCAATTCCTACAACCATGTTCTAGGACTGCAATCCTATCCCCACTTTCCTGGAAGTAATCCCCATTACTTACTGATTTTGACCTGGAAATATGTTTTCCTGTAGGAAAAAGAGTTTGCATAGGGAAAGTTAGAAGGGAGAAAGGATTGGGCTCCATAGCACTAGCATGTTGTCCCTATGTCTTTGTCCTCTCAAACAGAATTTCTAAGCTAATATGAAATTCTGGGACTCTAGGTGAAGGACTGTATAAAAACACTTTTAAATAAATAAATATTCCTGTTTTCCTTTGCCCCCTCCATCTCCCTTTTAAGAAAACACACATTTACAGGAAAATGGCTTAACTGTGTTTCCAATAGCTAAGCCCAAGGTATGCTACCATTAGATACGAGTATGTGAACCCACTCCAGTATCTTTGCCATGAAAACCCCATGGACAGTACCAAAAGGCAAAAAGATATGACGCCAGAAGATGAGCCCCTCAGGTTGGAAGGTGTCCAATATGCTACTGGGGAAGAGCGGAGAGTACTAGTAGCACCAGAAAGAATGAAGCGACTGGGTCAAAGCCGAAAGGACACTCAGTTGCAGATGTATCTGGTGGTGAAAGGAGAGTCCGATGCTGCAAAGATCTATACTCCATAGGAACCTGGAATGTAAGATCCATGAATCAAGGCAAGCTGGATGTAGTCAAACAAGAGATGACAAGACTTAACATCGACATCTTAGGAATCAGCAAAAAAAAATAAATGGACAGGAATGGGTGAATTTAATTCAGATGACCATCAGGTATACTACTGCAGGCAAGAATCCCTCAGAAGAAATGGAGTAGCCTTCATAGTCAATAAAAGAGTAGGAAAAGCAGTACTGGGATACAATCTCCAAAATGACAGAATGATCTCAGTTCAAATCCAAGGCAAACCATTCAACATCACAGTAGTCCAACTCTATGCCCCAACCACTGGTGCTGAAGAGGCTGAAGCTGACCAGTTCCATGAAGGCCTACAGCACCTTCTAGAATTAACACCCAAAAATGAGGTCCTTATCATCCTGGGGGATTGGAATGCTAAAGTAGGAAGCCAAAAGATAACTGGAATAACAGGCAAGTTTGGCCTTGGAGTACAAAATGAAGCAGGGCACAGGCTGGTAGAATTTTGTCAAGAGAATATGATGGTCATAGCAAACACTCTTTTCCAACAACCCAAGAGACGATTCTACACATGGACATCACCAGACGGTCAACACAGAAATCAGATTGACTATGTGCTCTGCAGCCGAAGATGGAGAAGCTCTATACAGTCAGTAAAAACTAGACCAAGAGCTGACAGTGGCTCAGATCATGAGCTTCTCATTGCAAAATTTAGGCTTAAACTGAAGAAAGTAGGGAAAAGCACTAGACCACTCAGGTATGACCTAAATCATATCCCTGATGAGTATACAGTAGAGGTGACAAATAGATATAAGGAATTAGATCTGATAGAGTGCCTGAAGAACTCTGGATGGAGATTCACGACATTGTACAAGAAGTAGCAACTAAAACCATCCCAAAGAAAAAGAAATGCAAGAAAGCAAAATTGATGCGTGAGGAGGCTTTACAAATAGCTGAGGAAAGAAGGGAAGCAAAAGGCAAGGGTGAAAGAGAAAGATAGACCCAACTGAATGCAGAATTCCAGAGAATAGCTAGAAGAGATAAGAATGCCTTCTTAAATGAACAGTGCAAAGAAATAGAAGAAAACAATAAAATAGGGAGGACCAGAGTTCTCTTCAAGAAAATTGGAGATATGAAGGGAACATTTCATGCAAAGATGGGCATGATAAAGGACCAAAATGGCAGGGACCTAACAGAGGCAGAAGAGATTAAGAAGAGGTGGCAAGACTACAGAGGAACTATACAAGAAAGAGCTTACTGTCCCTAATAACCACGATAGGGTGGTCACTGACCTTGAGCCAGACATCCTGGAATGTGAAGTCAAATGGGTCTTAGGAAGTCTGAGCAACAACAAAGCTAGTGGAGGTGACAGTATTCCAGCTGAGCTATTCAAAATCCTAAAAGATGATGCAGTAAAAGTGCTACACTCAATATGCCAGCAAATTTGGAAAACTCAACAGTGGCCACAGGATTGGAAAAGGTCAGTTTACATTCCCATCCCAAAGAAGGGCAATGCCAAAGAATGTTCAAACTACCGCACCATTGCATTCGTTTCACATGCTAGCAAAGTTATGCTTAAAATCCTACGAGCTAGGCTCCAGCAGTATGTGGACCAAG